GGCCTGGCACTGCCTGGCATCTTTTGCTGCCCGGCAACCCTCGAGGCTCTATCAGGTTCGGGGTTCCATCAGGTATTGCACATGAAGCCCCTTCGGGGCTGTAGGTTCATTAAAAAGATGGAACGCACGCACAACACACATTAACGGCACGTCCAGGATGGTGGAAAACAGATCGTGCTCTGCATCCTGGCCACGAGTCCGACGAAACAAACCGACGCGAAGCGGAATTGCGGCCACTCCCAGTTACTCAGTTGCTCCAGGAGACGGTTTAGAGCAACTGCTTGAGGCTGCTTCTGTCACTCCGGCGGTATTTCCTGAGCATGGCACAAGTCCAACACCGAACGCTCTGCTTCGATGTTCAATGCCTGGGAGTCCGGCTATGCCGAGTTTGCCGAAGTCCTCCGGAAACATCAAGAACTCCTGAAATGAAGAGCCAGCGGTGTGTCACAACGATGAACGGACGCTTCGTAGTTCGCGGCCTCGCGTGTGGGTCGAAGAAGGAAGGAGGCAGCCTGAAGTGCCACAGCTCCGTCCGTGGCTTTGCGAGCACAGCACGTCGTCGCTAGAACCCCGCTGTCGCAGGACATGCCTCGTCGGCGACCGTCTTCTTCACCACCGGGGTCGCTCTCCGTGACTTAAACGCGGTTCTCAGCATGGTGGAGCTGAAAGACGATCCCTGCCGTGCCAGCACTTAGCAGAGACCGCCAGACGAGCACTCGACAGGAAACAAGTACAGCTTTCAGTGCAGATTATTAGCCATCTGAAGCGAGTAAACGAGTACTGATGGTCAAGTAAACAGTATGCTCCCGCAAGTTGCTTCAGCCCAAGCCTCTCCCAAGATGCCCTCTGCCACGTAGACTGACTTCTCTGGCACTTCCGCTTCCGCAGCATCACCAGCACGGGGGACCACGACCACACCTAGTCCCCTGCATGGACGGGTCGCTCTGCAACTCAGCACCTAGCCATACCAGCACGACAGAACCAAGCCTCTCCGGCAGAAGGCCTTTGTAGAGGCCATTGCTCTTGGCATGATCCGTTCCACATGCATAGAAGACCTGGCACAGAGGGAGAAGCTGATGTGACAGTGTGGCCGGATGCACCTCTACGCGACAAGACGCTTCAACGCTGCGGATGCTTGCTGGCCTTGAAACTCTGGTCCAGCTTCCATGCCTCCCGCGCGTGGGTCGGGAAAGAATGTAGATTTTCTGTCAGCCTCTACCCCCCCCCCCCCGTGTGCCCATCCAACCGTTCCGTGTTTCGTTGTTCAAGAAGCGATTGCAAAGCTCGCCCTAACACTGACGCAGCACTTACATTTTGGCCTCGCGCATTGCTGTTTAAGGACAGAACAACACCATCGGGAAGTAACAAAAGCTGAGTTGCCTCCAAAAACACATCTCCAAGTTAAATGCAGCAATGCTGCAGTGTCCCAAGAAACTATCTTGGGAGAGTACTCAACCTCCGAGAACCCAAAACAACCGGATTGGTTTTCCGGAGCGCACGGCACTTCCACTTTCCGGGATTTGCCTGTTGTTGATGACAGTGCCGGCAGTTCTGAGAGCATAGGGGTGCCGTAAGTAACGGTTCTTGGGTTATGCAGGGCAAGCTGCGAGTGGTAGCCACTCTTGTTTTTTGTGCGGTCTATGCTGGCTGCCGACATACTTCGTCTTTAACTTCGTTTCGAGAGAGCAAAACATGTTTGCATTTTGACTGACTGTTGTTGACAAAACAGTGTTGTTGCTTCCTAAGGATTTCGCGAGGGCCAGAATGAGTTTGTTTTGTTCCGCCGCTCTTTTTCACTACACCTGCTGCCCCTGGACCCTGGAAGATTCGCTGCTGTCCGACAGCCGGCGTCCCAGTTCCCACCCGCTGCGCCGGGCCATTTTCGACCCAACGAAATACACCGGCCAAGGGCTGCCCAAGGTCAACGCAGTGAGTGAGAAAGCGTCCTGGGCAGGGACGGAGCGAACAACACCCCGGCAGGGGAAGTTCACCTGCCGGCCTTTCAAGACCCGACGCAGTACATCCGAAAAGGGCGACCCAAGCCCCGCGCAGCAAAAACTAATACCACTTCCCCTTCCCGCCTTCACGGGAAACACCTTGCCAGCGCTCACCATTACCGAATTATTACAAGGGCAAACTGAGATCACAAGACTCAGAAACATGCAACACCTCTGCAGAAACAGCCCACGTTGCTCCCATGTATGAATCACGACTGTGACGTGCTGCTCACTCAACACACGGAATCTGCCCACAAGAGGGAGGTAGCAAAAACATACGCTTCAACACACCTATGTATATGTGCATGTAACTGTATGTGTATATATATATATATGAGCGTTGATCAATATTCCTGCTTCTGGAAATGGTTTCTTCGCGGATTAGTCCCACACCATGGCCGCCTGTTCGTTCATGACCTCCTCGAGGCTGCATGTTGAGCGAATAAAGGTCCCCATCATGAAAAGAAAAGCCGTGACAAAGATGAAAGCCTGCCACCCAAAGCTTTTGTTCAGACGCAAGCTCCATCCACAAGTACTACGCCGCACTTTCACCAGCGCATCGCCCCAATGTGGCTGGCTGCAGAACATCTAGCCGATGGTGCCGAACATCGCGAAGACACCCGGCAGCAAGAAAACCCACCTGAACTCCCCAAAAAGGATACACAAGAGTTGAAGGCCAGGGTCCCACACCATGGCCGCCTGTTCGTTCATGACCTCCTCGAGGCCGCATGTTGCACGAATAAAGGTCCACATCATGAAAAGAAAAGCCGTGACAAAGATGAAAGCCTGCCACCCAAAGCATGAACTCTCACCCTTCGCGAAGTGCTGGAAGTTTCGGCGCCAGAAGTGGGATAATCTGGTCCAGGTGCACCACGTGGAGGTAACTTCGCACACCCTCAGCGCGTAATTCCAGGGAGCGGAAATGGCCGCGGCCATGGCCACCCAGAACGCTCCGAAAGTGAGCAGGCTGGCTTATATATATATATATATATATATATAGGTTGCTGCCCCAACCTGTCACAGGGTTAGGGGCAGTGGTACGCCTCCAGGCGGAGGCGAAAACAAGAAGCATAGGCACACGGCACACAAGGGAGCATGCCTTGCACGTGTGCTTGCGGGGCTCAAGCAAGTGCGAGCTCACGCGTCAGCAAAATAAAATAAAACAAGTAAGCACAGGCTCAACCTGTATCTTCGGCTGCCCAAGCAGCAGCTTCTGCACCGCTAACATGCCAAGTGGATCTCTGACGGCGGTGCTTGACTTCAGCATGCCATGCTTGACTTCAGCATGCCATGCAAGTGTGCCTGCGAGGCTCAAGCAAGTGCGAGCTCACGCGTCAACAAAATAAAATAAAACAAGTAAGCACAGGCTCAACCTGCATCTTCAGCTGCCCAGGCAGCAGCTTCCGCACCGCTAACATTCCAAGTGGATCTCTGACGGCGGTGCTTGACTTCTGCACAGCGAATGTTCCCAAGCATGAGCAGTCGGGCAACAACATGAGCATCGCTTTCATCGGTGGGGAAAGACCAACCCAGACGACGAGCAAGAGCCGATCTAGGAGGCTGCTGACATCTGATCTCATTGAAGAAAGCGCACTGCCAAAACACATGCTCAACAGAGGGAGTGACTTGTGAAAGGCATATTGCACAATGATCACGCTGTGGGCCAGCTGGGCACCAACGGGCGTCGGTGCTGAGGCCGCCGATCATAGTGGAGATGGCATGTCCATCAACTCTAGAAGCAAGACGGCGCAGGTAGTCAACCAGCTCCGGGGAGGCCCTGACGCGGCACGAGCGCGCGAGGCGGGAGTCCCTGCGGGTGGGATGACCGAGCCATTCTTTAAGCCGGAAAAGGCGCCAAGCTTCACGAAGCTGATGCGCAGCACGGTTCTGCAAGGCAGGAGTACTGCGCAGGCTCCAAGCACAGTTGCCGCGGCCCCATTCAGCCCAGGAGCGGCGTTTGGGAGTCCACCCCCAGGCAGACAAGCAGGAGTTTATGCCCTGTGCAAGGGCAGAATCCTTCACATTAAAATGCAGCGGGTTGCGGCCTTGGGCCTCAAGGAGCTTTGACCATCGACCCATGGCTTTGAGCAGCCTTTGACAAGCAAGGAAAGCAAGGTCTGAGTGATGGCCAAGGAGCAAGAGTTGCTGCAAGTCACGCGAACTGCGATCGAACTTTTGAGCACAACCCTTCACAGCCAAGCGGAAGGCATTTCTGTACGCGTCGCCTTCTTTCGACGTGGGGACTCTGCCACCAAACAAGACACCCCAGGCAGAGATGGCTGAGAAGGTCATAGTGGCCAGCCCAACCTTTTTCTTTAGGGACAAGGGCAGCACGGCCAGGCGGTGAGCAACACGCTCGGCTTTAGCTGCACGCTTTTTATCATTTTCGGAAGGGGGACGGGAGCTTATTCCTACAGTAGCACCTAACACTTCGGCAGAAGTCTTCGCCTCGATGCCTGCCTGTTGGAACGCAGACAAGGCAGCCTGCGACCGGGCGAGCATCTGAGTCTTGTCAGGATGAGTACGGAGTCGAGTGCAGGACTCCAGCTCTTGCCAGGTTTGCTCGGCAGCTAAGAGATCGTTCAAACTGCGTGCCACAAGCGTTCTGTCATCCAGATACACAAGAGAGGAAGCGTTTGTGACGCTCTGCACCTGCCGTATCGGGAGAGCCAGGACAACTGCAAGGGCGCACGGCGAGAAGGGGTCTCCTTGAGGTAACCCTAAACAATTAGACAAGCAATGGGGGCTAACGGCACCCGCAAAACAAGGCCAGCGACGGTGCGTTTGCCATTGAAACCGAAGCAAGTTAAGGACAGGGGCGGGGAGGCCTAATCTCTGAAAAACCGAAAGGGAAATCGTGTAGTCCAGACTATCAAAGGCCTTTTGAAAGTCCAACGCCATTGCGAAGGGATGTTCTTCGGCATCAAACTCGATGTCGAGTGCGCACAGGAGGGTTTCCGCGTCGTGGCCGCGGAGACCACCAGCCTGACTGTGTTCCAAGCA